TGGTTAGCGCGCTGCGCTACGAACCCGGTAACCCGATTTCAATTCCCCGCTCGCGGCCAACATCGGTGACAATTTTTCGAACCGGCCTTGGGTCTCCCCTAGGTCAACTCGGCCTCAAATGAGTACCTGGTGCGGTGTGTAAAAACATCGCCACGTGGGAGACAAAGGAGGCCGGGCGTGGTGCTGGCCACCCACCCCCTCGTGTGCCGTGCCGGCCTTCATAGGTGCTCGCTAACAGCACTTGCTCCAAACAGCCTGTGAAAGGCTACACGGAGGAGGGGGGGGGGTGGTCTCCGTCTTTGTTGTGTGCCGTGCGCTTGGCGAGTGGCGCGGGACAGCCGCCTGCGGTGTGGTGAACGAGCGCTCCGCTCGCGGTTATCGGGGCCGCTCCCCATCGCGCACCGCGACGTTCTGGTTGTCCTCATTCACGGTCGCGTCGCGGGTGCCACGGTGGCTAGGAGATGTTAGCGCCCTCGCCTGGTATGCAGGAGTAAGTGAGTACCTGGTGGATTTCTCTCCCGGTCCTCCGATTTTTCCTTTCACGTATATCATCAGCATCGCTCTTTCGGAGTATTTGGCTGCTTTACATTTCCACGTGACGATGACGATGGGCCGTGTCGTCGAGCTCTCGTTTGTGGCGGCCAGGTCGCTTCTGAAAAAAAGAGCTACGTAGCTCGGTGGGGCCTTACCTGGTAAACAATAAACAAAAACTGTTTAAAAAAAAAAAAAGTTTCCACCCATGGGTGCGGCTGTGGCCGTCGTGCCGTCCTGTGCACCGTGACCCCCCCCCGCCCCCCGCAGGTTCGTGGAGGATTACCGCGTGGTGCTGATGCGTACGCTGGCATGGGGCGCTCCGGATCCGGACGTCCCCGACGCCGCGGGGTTCATCGCGCGGCCTCGCCCCGGCTCGCGAGCCCGGCACAAGCGGCAGCTGCTCACGGTGCACTTTTGGTGCCAGAACCCAGCCGTGGTGAGCGCGGCCTTTCGCTTCTCCACGCTCGCGGCACCTGGGTCTGTCCACCGGTGAACTCCCCTTGTCAGTGAGGCGTCGGCTGTCCACACGTAGGAGAATCGGGATCGGAATATTTATTTATACTGGAGGAATCCGGCGCGAAAGAAGTTCAAAACACACACACACTTGTGGCAAAAACGTGCAAACAAACATGCTCTGACAATACGTCGCAATGTCTTTGAAACTGATTGGCCGACTCCAGAGACAGCCTTTTGACGGCATTGCCTCACCAGTGTTAGACCAGACCTTGCCAACACTACAAATAAAACTATCAAGGTATGAATGGCTTGGGTTGAGCAGTGTTCTATCTGTGGCACTTGGTGTTTGAACATCTTCACGTCTGTTTCATTGCCTGAAAGGGAGAAGTCAATCCCAGTGTTCGTTGTTTACCGAGCGTTCGCCTGGGTTTAATAACTGGCATTGTGTAAAATCGCTGACAAAAGGTATCGGAGCCTTTGCTGGGACTCTCCTAGGTTTGCTTCGGCTTCAACCGATGTCTGGTTTGTTTGTGTGTAAACACCGGCTCTGGGGAGACAAAGGTGGACAGAAATGGTTCACGGCCACACCACCCCCTGCATGCCAACCTGAGTAGCCGCTCGCGAACAGAACATTCCCCTGTGCTCTGTAAGGCTCAAGGGGCCATTGTATTTATGTGTGGCGCCTCAAGACGTGCTGCATGTAAAGTGCGGTATAAATAATTAACGATGGTAAATGATGATGCTTGTGTGTACTTGCGGGGGGGTGGTTAGACGCTGTGCGACGAACCCGGCGACCCGACTTGGATTCCCGCTCACGGCCAACGGCGGTGACGATAATCCGAACCGGTCCTGGGCCTCCGACTAGGTCAACTCAGACTCAAATAAGTACCTGGTGTGATGTGTAAACATTTCCACTAGGGATACAAAGGCGGCCAGGGCGTGGTGCTGGCCATCCACCTCTCGTGTGCCGTGTCGGCCTTTCTAGGTGTTGCTGAACGCTAACAGCACTCGCCCCAAAATTATGTTAAGGCTATACGGGGCGTCTTGTCTCTGTGCGCGTGAAAACTGGTGACTAAGTGGTCGGAGCGGGTGAATCTCAATCCTCAGATTCGGTGTTGAAATCCGTGTTGAGGGGTTGACTCAGCCCATCATCCCCCCCCTTGGGCCGATAAATAGGTACCACTTTTGTGAGGGGGGAGGTGGTAGTCAACATCGGTCGTCCAATGAATAAGCTCGCCCCCCCCCCCCCCCGTCATAGAAACGTGGATAATGTTCTACCCGCCTCGTCGCTCGAAGAGCCGCGGACAGGCGATGAGCACCGATGCCCGAGCGTTCATTTGAGCAGGAAATCCCTTTTGACCGGTGTCCGTGCGCGTGTTCGTTCGCAGGCTTTCTCGGACCTGAGCGCGCACGCCCGCACCATCATCCTCACCTCGGGCACGCTGAGCCCCATGGCGTCGTTCTCCTCCGAGCTGGGAGTCTCCTTCACGATCCAGCGCGAGGCCACGCACGTCATCAACCCCTCGCAGGTGTGCGCGCACGCCGAGCCACGGACGGCGCAGCCCAACGCGAACCGACGGACAAAAAACTCCTGCCCTCTTAGTAGGTGCCCTTTGCTAGAGATGAGTTTTTGTTTAGAAGAATACACGTGGGCGCCGCGGTGGCGAGACGGTTGACCGCCTCGCCTGGTACGCAGGAGGTCGGTCGCTGGTTGAGAATCGGAATATTTAATCGTGCCGGAGGAATCCGATGAGCTGTAAAGCTCTTTTTCACAGATGTCCAGTTCGATCCCGACCCTGACGACTACTGTATATTTGGAGTTTCCATGTCCCTATTTGCCCGTGGTCACGTGGATTTTTCACCGGGTGCTCTGCTTCGATCGCCACTTTCATGGCAGTCGTCGTGAGAAGAATGGGACGCGTGTAGGCTGCCATCTTCCACTCCAGAAGCATGAATGTAAACAGAATCGAAATATCACAACAGTGTGACCTTTTTTGTGCACCACCATAACGCTCTCTTACCAAGTCACTGTGTGCCACTCTCCGGACATAATAGGCGCTCGCAAAACAGCGCTCCCATTGGTGCACTCCCGTCAGACAAATCGAGAGGGATCCCTGTGTCTGTGGCACCCTGTGCGTGTCCGTCCCCCTCCCACCCTCCCCCCCCCCCCCTCCCGGTACCCCACGGGTGAGGTGTGGGTGGGCACGGTAGGGCTGGGCCCCAGCGGGAGGGAGCTGTGCGCCACGTACTGCCACACCGAGACGTTCGCCTTCCAGGACGAGCTGGGGGAGCTGCTGCTGAGCGTGTGCCGCACGGTGCCACGAGGGGTGCTCTGCTTCCTGCCCTCGTACAAGGTACGACCGCCGCCCCCGCCGCACGCCACTCTGACCCTCTCCCGTTGGCACGGTCGGCTACGTGCGGTGCAAAATGCGTTCTCCCGTACTTGCACGAGCTGTACGTCCGCATGTTGCGGGGCGGGTGTCCCGCTCACCGGCGAATCATCGGAACGCGCGAGCGGGTGTGCGTACGCACGATAGCGCACGACAGTAAGCACACGCGTACAATCAGTACGAGCACGTGCACCTTCAGATGCGTTCACGTACACCGGTGGAGACGAGGCGAAGATCTCCCGTTGTAGTCTGCAACAGGCTGTCGGCGGCAAATTGCTGTTTCGTGAGCGCCTATTAAGGCTGGCACGGTGCGCAAGGGGTGGTGTGGCGAGGATCACGACGGGCTGCCTTTGTCTTCATGGCGCCGGTGTTTGTGTACCCCGGCAGGTACTCATTCAAGGTGAGGCCGCCCGGGTCAGATATTCACCGGTGATGTTACAGCGCTGAGAGCGTTTCCCTCCACTCACATTCACGCGCACACGGCTTAGGAGGTGGCGCATCGCATGATGATCTCTGCGTGACCCCTTCAACCCCGCCTCTGAAGCCAGGTCCACAATCTAATCTCTCTCGAAAGCCGTGCGACTCGATCATCGCCTGCGACCGCTTTGTCCGGAATCTCGGCGAGAAGTTGCGTGGCAAGGGGGTGGAGTCTGGGCGTGGCTGGAGTGTATGGCCACGCCCCTTTCCAACAGAGCCCCCGCCCCCTCAGTCTGGATAGCTCCACCCACCCGACCCGTTTCACCCGCGTCACCAATACAGCGAGCAATCACAGTTCTCGAATGTGCAGCGACGCACTTGTGAACCGCTTCGCGACAAATCGCGCAACGGATCGCCGCTTGAAAGTCAAATCTCTCCCTTTCTGCGAACAGCCAGTTGCGCAATTTCTGCCTGCACCCGGTTGCGCAATTTCTGCCTGCAACCGGTTGCAGGGGACGTCCGCATGAAAGCCGTTCGGTTGCACGCAACCGATCGCTCAGGGTGCGGACGCTGGTGTATACGACTGGTTTACAAGCTGTGTGTCAGGGTCATGGCACCAACCTCCCTCCCTCCCTCCCTCTCTCCCTCCCTCCCTCTCCCCCTCCCTCCTTCCCCTCCCTCCCTCTCCCCCTCCCGCCCTCTCCCCCTCCCTCCCTCTCCCCCTCCCTCCCTCCCTCTCCCCCTCCCTCCCTCTCCCCCTCCCTCCCTCCCTCCCTCTCCCCCTCCCTCCCTCCCTCCCTCCCTCTCCCCCTCCCTCCCTCTCCCCCTCCCTCCCTCCCTCCCTCCCTCTCCCCCTCCCTCCCTCTCCCCCTCCCTCCTCCCTCTCCCCCTCCCTCCCTCTCCCCCTCCCTCCCTCCCTCTCTCCCTCCCTCTCCCCCTCCCTCCCTCCCTCCCTCTCCCCCTCCCTCCCTCCCTCCCTCTCCCCCTCCCTCCCTCCCTCCCTCTCTCCCTCCCTCTCCCCCTCCCTCTCTCCCTCCCTCTCCCCCTCCCTCCCTCTCCCCCTCCCTCCCTCCCTCCCCGTAGAGGGCAAATCGGTGGAGGGAGGGGGTGATGGACACCTGTTTTTGATAAGAATTGGGAGGAGGAGTAGGAGAGCGAAGGGAGAGCGGGGGCAGAGAGAGTGGGGATGAGATAACGCTGGAAGAGGAGGCGGAGGAGGAGGAGGAGGGGGACAGCAGAGCCAGGGATGATGGGCGAGGGTCGTGAAAGTTCTAGGAGTAGTCCGGTAGAGGGAGCAGCGGTGCACGGGAGGGAGGGGACGAGTCCTGTGAACAAAACATAACCAAGGAGTGTGCATGAGGAGTGGATGATGGGAGTCGACTGGAGACGGGAGAGAGTGCTGCAGTTGAGTGGAGGTCCAGAGAGAGATTGTGAGAGCGTCGGCGATGAAGAGAGAAGGAGGTGTCGGTGTCGAGAGAGAAGAGCGAGATGGGAAGCGTTGGGATAGTGTGACAGTGTGCAATAGCGCGGTCACGGAGTGGAGGAAGGAGGGGGAGAGCGGGGCAGATGGAGGGGGTGGATGGGAGGAGAGCGTGGCATGGAGGGGGTGGAGCGGTGGTGCAGCGGTTGGCGCGCCGCGCTACGAACCCCCGCGGATCTGAGTGTGATCTCCGCGGGCGCTACTGGCGCCGGTGGCAACTCGTGACATCTGAAGCGTTGCCCGGCCCCGCCGTCCACCACACCAACTCGCGCTGACCTGGCGCGGTGAAGTGCGGTGAAACAATATCTCTCCGCGTGACCGACACGGTGGAGGGAGGGGGTGTGGTGGAGCGGCGGATTAACAAAGGCCTGTAAATTAAATTTTCAGTCACGGCATCGCGAGCGTCGGAGATGGGAGAGTGCGCATTAACGAGCATTACAGCGAGGAGTGGAGCGCATTAAAGGAGGTTGGGGGGTTAAGATCCTGAATTGAGAAGGGAGAGTGCGGAGAGAGTGAGAGAGAGAGAGAGCAAGGGGAGAGTTTGGCGGAGAGAGTTCGCAAGAAGGGCTGCGATTGTAAATCGCGGCGGAGGCATTACGGTGGCGCCGCACGCGTTCCGGTGATTGGCAAAGTCTCCCCCGTAAAAAACCAGACGCACAGCGCCGCACGCGGAGAAGCGGTGGGGCCGGAGGGGGGTGGGTGGGAGATAGCGAGCGAGACAGACACACAGACGGACGCACGCACATCCCCGCTCGTAAATCCCACGGGCCGATGGGCTCGCTAAGCTCTGTGGCTCGCCAGTTCCTAAGTCATCTTTAAAAGAAGGCCTCTTAAGAAGTCTGTCTTTTCCCTCCTCTCTGTCTCTCTTCAAGTGCCCCCCCCCCCCCTCCATGCAGCATCACCCCCCACCCTCCTTATCTTCCCTCTCGGTGTCTGTCGTATTCACTTTGTGATCTGCCACCCTAATGTATGTCGTACCCCCTGTACATTGGGGTTCTGCACGCGCTTCTGTGCCTTTCATTTGTCAGCGCTCCACTCCGTGAAATTCTTCTCTCGCTCTCTCTCGCTCTCTCTCTCTCGTTCGCTCTCTCTCGCTCTCTCTCTCGCTCTCTCTCTCGTCGCTCTCTCTCTCGCTCTCTCTCCTCTCACTCGCTCTCTCTCTCTCTCGCTCTCGCTCTCTCTCTCGTTCGCTCTCGTTCGCTCTCTCTCTCGCTCTCGCTCTCTCTCTCGTTCGCTCTCGTTCGCCTCTCTCTCTCTCTCTCTCTCTCTCTCGCTCTCTCTCGCTCTCTCGTTGTCTCTCTCTCGCTCTCTCTCTCGTTCTCACTCTCTCGCTTGCTCTCTCGCTCTCTCTCGCTTGCTCTCTCGCTCGCTCGCTCTCTCTCTCTCGCTCTCTCTCGCTCGCTCTCTCTTGCTCTCTGTCTCGCTCTCTTTCGCTCGCTCTCGCTCGCTCTCGCTCTCTCTCTCTTTCTCGCTCTCTCTCGCTCGCTCTCTCTCGCTCTCTCTCGCTCTCTCACTCTCACTCGCGCTCTCTCTCTCGCTTGCTCTCTCGCTCGCTCTCTCGCTCTCGCCTCGCTCGCTATCTCTCGCTCTCATCTCCGATGGCTATCTCTCGCTCTCTCTCGCTCTCATCGCTCTCTCGCTGTCTCTCTCTCTCTCTCGCTCACTCGCTCTCTCTCGCTCGCTCTATCGCTCTCTCTCGCTCTCTCTCTCGCTCTCTCGCTCTCTCTCGCTCTCTCGCTCTCTCTCTCTCTCACTCGCTCTCTCTCTCTCTCGCTCTCTCTCGCTTTCTCTCTCGCTCTCTCGCTCTCTCGCGCTCTCTCTCTCTCTCACTCGCTCTCTCTCTCTCACTCGCTCTCTCTCGCTCGCTCTCTCGCTCTCTCTCTCACTCGCTCTCTCTCTCTCACTCGCTCTCTCTCTCTCTCTCGCTCGCTCTCTCTCTCTCGCTCTCTCTCTCTCACTCGCTCTCTCTCTCACTCGCTCTCTCTCGCTCTCGCTTGCTCTCTCTCTCGCTGTCTCTCTCTCTCTCGCTCTCTCTCGCCCTCTCTCGCTCTCTCTCGCTCTCTCTCTCTCTCGCTCGCTCTCTCTCTCGCTCTCTCTCGCTCGCTCGCTCTCTCTCGCTCTCTCTCGCTCTCTCTCGCTCTCTCTCTCTCTCGCTCGCTCTCTCTCGCTCTCTCTCGCTCTCTCTCTCTCTCTCGCTGTCTCTCTCGCTCTCTCTCACTCTCTCGCTCTCTCTCACTCGCTCTCGTCCATCTCTCACACTCGTCATTCTATCTCACTATTCTCTCTCTTTCTCTCTCCCTTCCCTGTTTTGCATCACAGTTTATCCTCTGTCTCTAATATCTCTCCTCTCCCTGCCTCTCCCACGTCTCTTCCTCCCCCGTACCCTTTACTTCGTCACCTTTCCTGTCACGTGTCTCTCTCTCTCACCGTGGTCGCGTGGATTTTTCACCGGGTCCTCCGGTTTTTCCCTCCACTATAAATTTCCAAGCGACCACTTCTTTGAGCTATCAACTGTGATGGCCAGGTCGCTTCTGAAAAAGAGCTACATAGCTCGGTGGGGCCTTACCTGGTAAAATAAAAATAAATCGTGATTTATCTTTCGCTCCCTTCTCTCTCCTCTCTTTATCGTTCCCTTCTCAATCTCTCCCTCCCTCACCTCCACCCTTGCCGTCCTTTCTCTCTCCTGCTGCCCCGCGTGCCCCTCTCCTCTCTCTCTTCATGTCACCTCGCCCCAAACTCCCCTCCCTCCCTGCACCCCCTCCCCCGGCCTCCTCCCTGCCCCCCCCCCCCGCGTCGCCTCTCCAAGCTCCGGCCTCCGCCCGCGTCCCTCCACGATGCGGGTGCCGGGCCTGCGGCGCCCGCTCGTGGGACGGCTGACGAGGGCGGCCTGCGCGCTGGCGTCGTGGTGGCGGTGCGAGCGAGCGAGCGAGCATCGACCTGTCCTTGCTCCTCTTTACGGGCGGCTGGAGACGAAGCAGGGGCGGCGCGATGAAAGGGTCGCCCGGGCCGCTCCCGCCCCCCCCCCAGCCCCCCCTGCCCCCCCCCCCCACTTTAGGACCTGGCCCGAACCGAGGGCCCCGTTTTGTAGGCGTCCACTGTTGGCATTTCCAGGTGCCGTGAGATGAAACGGAGACGGTTTTAAAATACATTTTTTTTTTTGCTCGCTCGCTTGCATTCTGGATTAGGAGAGAAAGCCCTCTTAAAAATGTTGAATGATCGCTCGGCCACTCGGGGCGCGCGCTTAGCGGAAATCCGTCTCAATAAATGCTCCGATGTGAAAAGGCCGTTGCTCAAAACGCCAGCCTACCTCGGCACATTTTTCTTTTTTTTCTGCCGCCATACGGCAGCGGCAACGATTAATGCGGCGCGTCGTTGCGAGTGGGCGGGCGCTCTCGCCGACCGCCATCGCCGGCCTCTCCCAATTCGTTTCGAGGTCCGCGAGACGTTCCGCTTCCCCGTCAGCAGTGGGAAAGTGTCATCGTCACACCGGGCGATTGTACGGATCGTCGGAGTGTCGGCTGCCCAGTAAGGAAGTTGCATCTTGCAATTGCCACAAGCTGGAAAGGCAGCCAGCCCCAGCCAGGCGGCGAGCTGGCGCCTACCAACAATTGCCCCAAGCTCTGTCGTCCTCCGTACGTCAAGATGTTTCCCGCCGAATTAAGGAGCGTTCTTACGCGTGCGAGGGGGCAACGCTCTATCCCAAGCAGATGGTACGGCAAAGTGCGGATGTCGCTGTACCGTCTTCTGCTAGTGAGCCAGGGTTTCACGTTCTCCTCGATGCCCACGAGTTGTGCAACATCCGTGCGTGATCCACCAATCCTCGCTGCCTCCACGGTGCCGGATTACAGGCCACGTGCAAAGCCACTATCGCCCGGCATATAAAACGGTCACCAATTAATAACATCAACATTACAAAAGGCCGATTTCCTTCTCAAATGAGCTTTGAAGCATTTGTGCTCATCTCCCGGTTACAGCCCTATGGCAGTGGTGGAAATTCCACCTTCCTATGGTGGGAGCGAGTCTCTCCATACAAACTAAACTAAACTATTTAAAAAAAATGTACTAGATAAGGCCCATCCATGTGCTACCCAGGCTGAACCCTGCGGAGCTTCCGAGATCTGACTAAACCCACGACCCAACCACGCTTAATTTGGTGATTCGCTCGTAACCCAAGTCAAGCCAATTAGATTTTTTTTGCATGCGCAGGTTGTTCCGCATGTCACGTCACACATCTGCCGCTCGAAAGCGCCATCATCGTCAGATCAAGACACCTGGGCACGTTGCTGAACGTTGTGCAGAGATGCGCCGAGAAAATGACAAACAGACTAAAATAATCATGATCATTGGGGGGGCGGTGACGCGGCCCAGCCGGGTCGCGTCACCGCCCGCTCGTCGCTGCGCAGGTTCGCGGTTCGAGTCCGGCGGCCGCGCGCCCAGACACGGATCGTGCGGTGGTTAGCGCCACGAAACCCGGCCACCCGAGTTCGAGTCCCACTCGAGGCCACCAACCCGTGACAATTTTCTGAATCGGTCCTGGACTTCAAACGAGTGCCCGGTGGCGGCGTGTACAGCATCGCCACTGGGGAGACAAAGGCGGCCGGGCGCGGCGCCGGCCACCCGCCCCCTCGCGCGCCATTCCGGCCTTCAGAGGGTGTGTCGCCACTCGCCGACAGCACTCGGCCCCCAGCAGTTTGTTGAGGCTGCACGGCGGCCGGGGATCTTTGTCGTGGTTGTGAGCACAGAAGTCAACGAGCAGCAGCCCTCAGGGCCCTGGTTGCGTGTTTTGCAAAGGGTTCTTATTTGCCGCTGGCTTGCGTCTCTCAGCTTTGGGGAAACCCCTTTGATCAACGTGGCCGATCGAGCGAAGCTGACCCTTAACTCGAGCCTCCTTGATATTGCATCGTGTTTACGAGCGCCGCGGAGCCCTGTCCCCCCCCCTCGCCCCGCACCCCGCTGCGGACACGGCGGACGGACGAACGCGGCGTGGCGGGGGGGGTGGGGGGCCGGCCCCCTTCCGCCTCGGTCGCAGAGCGTCGGCCGAGGGCAAGGTCGCCGTTGCCTGCCGCCGGCGCGCGTTGCGACCCGCCGAGCCCGCGAAATGCCTCTGCGTCCGCTGCCGGCGGAGCCACGCACGGCAGGGTCAGTGGGCCGGTGTCGGGGCGCGTGCGTGTCTGGCAGCCCCAGGTTTATCATCGTCAGCGTCGTCAACGTCGGCCGCGTTCAGTCCACTGCTGGATGAAACCCTCCCCCAAAGCGGCTGCCGCCGCCACCGCTCGCGACGCTGCGACGTTATAATCTGAATGTTTATTGACGTGCGGGAGGAATCCGAAGAGCTGCAAAGCTCTTTTACACAGATGGCGGTAACCCTTTGTGGGAGCTCTGCGCTGTCATATGTCCTCTCCCCCCCCCCCCCCCCATGCGATGTCCCCCCCACCACCTCCCTCCCCCTCTCCTCCGCCCGTTAAACTCTTTACAAAGCGCAGAGCGTCTGGGCTCCCGGGCCGCCACGCCATCGTCTCCGGCAGCCGCCCTGGATCTCATTATGGCCGAGATGTCCGCTTGAGATGTGCCTGGGACCGGGGATTATATACGTGTGTGTGTGTGTGCGTGTGTGTGTGCGTCGGGGCACGTGTATGCGCGTCCGTGTGTGTGCGCGTGGGTGTGTGTGTGTGTCGGGGCACGTGTGTGCGCGTGCGTGTGTGTGCGCATGTACGTGTTCGTTTGTGCGAGTTTCGGAATGGGGGGTGGAAGTGCGGCTGTTAGTGCGCGCTGTGCTTCGAACCCGGCCAACCGAGTTTTATTCACGCTCACGGCCATCACCAGTGACGATTATCTGAACCGGTCATGGCCTTTCTCCTAGGTCGACTCAGCCTCAGTTGAGTACCTGATGCGGTGTGTAAACATCGCCACTGGGGAGACAAAGGCGGCCGGGCGTGGTGTTGGCCACCCACCCCCTCGTATGCCGTGCCGGCCTTCACAGGTGCTCGCTAACAGCACTTGCCCCAACACTCTGTTATGGCCCACTGAGCTATATAGCTCTATTACAGAAGCGACCTGGCCACAAATGATAGCTCAGTGATGTCTCTTATTATGTGGAAATGCATAGGAGCCAAATACTCTAAACGTGTGATGTTGATTCTAAATGTGGAGGACCCGGAGAAAAATCCACGGATTCACGGGGAGACCATGTAAAACTCCAAATATACAGCAGCAGCAGCAGCAGGCATCAGGGTCAGGATCTAACCCACGACCTCCTGCATACAGGCGAGGTAGTTAACATCTAGCCACCGTGGCGCACTATTTGTTGAATGAAATCGCTGCTGGGCAGGGTGCGGGCGGGTGGGGGAGGCGTTACCCCCCAACGGGTGGAATGGGCGCCCGGTTCTCGAGACGCGTCCATGGCGTTCTCTCCGGCGCATTCGGGCTCCTCATAAATCATAACGCGCGCACGGGCAGGGGGACACGCGCGCAGCTGTCCTGACTTCTGTGAACAAAGAGCTTCATAGCTCATCGGATTCCTCCAGTCTAAATAAGGATTCCGATAAGAGATAGGTGCCTCGGCCGCGCGTCCCCGCCCGGCCCCGAAGCGTTCGGAGCGGCGGCGCGGCGCTTGCCCACGTCTGGGGGCTTGCCGCGCGGCGCGATTGCCGCGCCTCCAGTTTGCCGAAGCTGCGCCCGCGTGCCCCCAGCGCGCCTGGGGGCACGCCGCTATTCGAGTCGGTCTTGGGCCCCTTCCCTCAAATAGAGGCGGGGAGCGGCGTGCAAGCGATCCTCGCCGGGGAGACGAAGGCGGCGTGGCGCTGGCCGCCCACCCCCCTCGTGCGCCGTGCCGGCCTTCTTTGGCGCCCGCTCGCCATCACGGCGCTTGCCCCCGGCCGTCTCGCCGAAGGCTACGCGGGGGATCTTTGTGGCGTGCGCCGCGTGAGCAGATGCTGCAGAAGGTGAGCGAGCGCTGGCAGAGCACGGGGCTGTGGGCGGGACTGGAGCAGCGCAAGCTGGTGATGAGCGAGCCCCAGCGCGGGGAGCGGGCCGAGTTCGACCGCCTCCTGGAGGAGTACTATGCGGCGGTGCACACGGAGGGCCAGCGCGGTACGCACCCCCACCCCCCACCCCCCTCCTGCCCCCCCCAACACCCACCCCCCCCCTACCCCCACCCCTCCACCACCCCACTTCGTGTGCCACAGTGCTGGACTTTCGTAGGTGCTACTCGCTAACAGCACTTTGCCCCAAAAGTCTGCTGAGGCTACATGGGGGATCTTCGTCTTTGCAGTGGTTGGCAGCACTACGTTGGTTTCCCCGGTTACAGCCCACGTCAGTGTTGGCTATATCTAAACCATTTTGATTTAAAGCTTTCGTGACTGCAGTAATTCATATTCTTAGCTCTTTCGGTAAAGTCACGTTGAAGGGAAACAATAAAATAATAAAATATATATAAAACAATAAAAATTCTCACGACGTTTCGACCATAACACAAACGGTCGTCATCAGGTGTGTCGGTTAGCATAAATTTATTTATTTTTAAACGGTGTATTTATTTATTTATAAAAAAAAACGTTAGCGCCACGCGCAGCGATTTGGCAGTTTATTTAGAAGGACTAGTCCATCTATGTTCTGAAAAGAGGAGGGGGGAGACGAAAAATTATAAATAAATAAATACACCGTTTAAAAATAAATACATTTATGCAAACCGACACACCTGATGACGACCGTTTGTGTTATGGTTGAAACGTCGTGAGAATTTTTATTGTTTTATATATATATATTTTATTGTTTCCCTTCAACGTGACTTTACCGAAAGAGCTAAGAATATATCTAAGTTAGTTCCGGGCCTCCCCTAGGTCGACTCAGGCTTAGAATGCGAGTACCTGGTGCCATGTGTAAACGGCAGCTTTGGGTAGGTCAAAGGAGGCGAGGCGTGGCCTCTGGCCACCCATGTGGCCTCCGTCGGTGAGGAAGCAGCACTTGCCCGACGGTCCGTTAAGGCTATAGGTGAGGAATCTTTGTGTCCGTATGCATGCAGGCGCCACGGTGGCAAGGTGGTAACTACCTCGCCTGGTATATTGGAGGTCCCCAGACCTTGACGCCTGCTGTGTATTTTGAGTTTGCGCCTCTTTTCTCTCCTTGGTCGTGTGGATTTTTCTCCGGGTCCTCCGGTTTTTCCCTCCACATTTTAGAATCGACGTCACGCGTTCAGAGTGTTTGGCTGCCGTACATTTCCACGTGATGATGATGATGAGCCACCGAATTGAGATGTCACTTGTGGTGGCCAGGTCGCTTCTGAAAAAGGGCTCGATAGCTCAGTGGCCCTTACCTGGTAAAATAAAAAAAAATAGTTTAGTTTTTGAATAGTTTATGTATGTGTGACTGCCGTGTGTTTGTGTGTATATGTGTGTATATGTGTGTATGTGTGTGGGAAGCGATAGTGTAGTGGTTAGCGCTACGCTGCGCTACGAACCTGGCGACCCGAGTTCGATTCCCGTTCACAGCCAACACCGGTGACGATTATCCGAACTGGTCCTGGGCCTACTCTAGGTCGACTCAGTCTCAAATGAGTACCTGGTGCAGTGTATAAACATCGCCATGAGGGAGACAAAGGCGGCCGGGCGTGGTGTTGGTCGCCCACCCCCTCGTGTGCCGTGCCGGCCTTCATAGGTGCTCGCTAACAGCACTTGCCCCTACAGTCTGTTAAGGCTATACGGGGGATCTTTGTGTGTATGTGTGTGTATGTATGTTCGACACTTCACGTGGCCTCAGGGTGCACATAGCCTGGCACAAGCGTCGTGGTGACGTCACCGCCACTTAGTGGTGAATGGCGGTTGTTGTTGTGTATGTGTGTGTATGTGTGTGTATGTGTGTGTGTATGTGTGTGTATGTGTGCCGTGTGTATGCACGGCTCAGACGGCGCGCTGCTGTTGGCCGTGTGCCGGGGCAAGGTGAGCGAGGGGCTGGACTTTGCCGACGACAATGCCCGCGTGGTGCTCACCGTGGGCATCCCCTACCCCAACACGCGCGGCCTGCAGGTGACTCGTGGGGCACTCGCAGCGCCACCACCCTCGTATCACCAGCAAGCACCCTCCATCACTACCCACCGTGACAACCCACCACCACCACCACCCACTACCGTCACCACCACCACCACCACCCACTATCGTCACCACCACCAACACCCTCGTATCACCAGCAAGCACCCTCCATCACTACCCACCGTGACAACCCACCACCACCACCACCACCCACTACCGTCACCACCACCACCACCCTCGTATCACCAGCAAGCACCCTCCATCACTACCCACCGTGACAACCCACCACCACCACCACCCACTACCGTCACCACCACCACCACCCTCGTATCACCAGCAAGCACCCTCCATCACTACCCACCGTGACAACCCACCACCACCACCCACTACCATCACCACCACCACCACCCACTACCGTCACCACCACCACCACCACCACCCTCGTATCACCAGCAAGCACCCTCCATCACTACCCACCGTGACAACCCACCACCACCACCACCCACTACCGTCACCACCACCACCACCCACTACCGTCACCACCACCACCACCACCCTCGTATCACCAGCAAGCACCCTCCATCACTACCCACCGTGACAACCCACCACCACCACCACCCACTACCGTCACCACCACCACCCTCGTATCACCAGCAAGCACCCTCCATCACTACCCACCATGACAACCCACCACCACCACCACCACCCACTACCGTCACCACCACCAACACCCTCGTATCACCACCAAGCACCCTCCATCACTACCCACCGTGACAACCCACCACCACCACCACCACCCACTACCGTCACCACCACCACCACCACCCTCGTATCACCAGCAAGCACCCTCCATCACTACCCACCGTGACAACCCACCACCACCACCCACTACCGTCACCACCACCACCCACTATCGTCACCACCACCACCACCGTTACAACTTGACGGCAGTTCTCATCGTCATTACCACGATTACAACTCACCCACCATCACCCATCACCACCACCACCACACACCCTCACGTCCGTTCTCGTCCACGTCTTGTCAGTGCAGCAGTGTCGCGGCGAGCGCTGCGCTGCCCTACAATCCCGGCTACCCGGTTCCGATTCCCGCTCACGGCCACCAACACCGGTGACGTTTATCCGAACCGGTCCTGGGCCTCCCCTAGGTCGACTCAGCCTTCACTGAGTACCTGGTGCGGTGGTTCCGTAGTAAACATCGTCACTGGGGAGACAAAGACGTGGCCGGCCGTGGTGTTGGCCACTCGCTCTCTCGTAGGTGCCGCTCTGTCGGCCTTTTATAATAGCTGCTCGCAAAGGGCGCCACGGTGGCTAGGAGATGTTGACTACCTCGCCTGGTGTGCAGGAGGTCGTGGGCGATCCCGACCCTGACGCCTGCTGCTGTATATTTGGAGTTTGTCTCTCTCTCATCATCATCACGGTGGCTAGGAGATGTTGACTACCTCGCCTGGTGTGCAGGAGGTCGTGGGCTCAATCCCGACCCTGACGCCTGCTGCTGTATATTTGGAGTCTGTCTCTCTCTCCCCCCGTGGTTGCGTGGATTTGTCTCCGGGTCCTCCGGTTTTCCCCTCCCACATTTAGAATCAGCATCACCACCACGCGTTCAGAGTGTTTGGTTGCTGCTGTAAATTTGCACATTGAGAAGCCGCCACTTCGTTGAGCTATCATTAGTGATGGCCAGGTCGCTTCTGAAAAATAAGTTAACGGCCCAGTGGACTCTGCCTGGTAAGTAAAAATAAAAAATTGTTGAGTTGTATTTGCGTGGTTTTTTTTCGTGATTTGTTTACCTCTCCTGTGCTTTGCACTGTGTTTGTTGTTGTTGTTGTAACGTTCTGACCCCGTGCCCCGGCTTAGAAGCCTGTGAAAAAAAAAAGAGCTTCATAGCTCATCGGATTCCTCCCGCAGTCCAAATGGACGTTCCGACTGGGATTGCGCGTGCGCAGGTGAAGCTGAAACGCGACTACAACGACCTGCACGTGCGCTCGCGCGGCCTGCTGTCCGGGAGCCGCTGGTACGAGGTGCAGGCCTTCCGAGCCCTCAACCAGGCCCTGGGCCGCTGCATCCGCCACCGCCACGACTGGGGGGCCCTGCTGCTGGTGGACGCTCGCTTCGGCAAGAACCCCGCCAAGTACACCGAGGGTACGGTGCCGCCGGCGTCCGCCCGCCCCGATATCCGCCACGCGCACCCCGGCGGCCGCCACGTATCCCCGATATCCGCCACGAACATCTTCGTTTCCGCCACACGCACACCCCCGATATCCACCGCGCCCACCGCTTGTGCGTGCGCGCAGGTCTCTCGAAGTGGTTGCGGCAGCAAGTGCGGCACTACGCCGACTTCGCCAGCGGCCTCCGCTCCCTCTCGGCCTTCACGGAGGCCTGCCGGGCCACCCTGAGCCCCGCCGATCCCGCCGGCCCCGTCGCGGCCGGGCCCTCTCCCGGCCAACCCGCGGCCGCGATAGAGCCGGCCGCTCCCCCTCCCGGCCACGGCGCCGCGTTCGACCGCGGCACGGCCGGACTTGGCAGGGCCGGCGTCGCGCACGACGCCGGCGGCGGCCGAGCGACCCCCGCCCGCGACCCCCCTCCGGCCACGCCGGCGCCCGCGTTGGACATCGCCGGCGGGAGACGGCAGCGGGGGCGGCAGCGGCATTGGCGGGGACGGGAGGCGCGACACCGCGGCTTCGCGTCGATTGCCCGCTTCCTGTCGCCTCCCGGCGGCCCCGGTGGAGCCGGCGTCGGTGCCGAACGGCGCGAGGCGACGCCGGCGCCGTGGCCCCCGGGCTCGCGGCACGGCCTCCCGGTGGAGGGGGGCGACGCGGTCGCCGCCGAAACCGGCGGCGGACCGCGTGGCCACCGACGACACCGCCACTACCGCCGCCGGTATCGCCGCCACTATCGCCGCCCCCGCCGGGTTCGCCGCCCCCGCCGCCGCCGCCGGCGCCGCGCTCGTCCCTGCCGTTACCGCCGTCGGCACCGCGGCGCCGCCGTGCCGGGACGACGCCGACGACGCCGACGACGCCGACGACCATCGCTGCTACACCCCGGAGCTGTTTGAGCCGGAGTGGGAGGGGGCGGAGCGGGAGGAGAATCCGGAGCGCCGCTTTGCGGTTCCGACCGCCGCCGCCGCCGCCGCCGCCGCCGCCGCGGCGGCCCCGGAGAGCGACACGGCGGAGACGGCGGCGGGACCGGTGGGGTCGTCGGTCGCGGAGGCCGAGCGGGAGGAGACGGAGGCACCGGGCCGTGGCTCGCCGACGAGCCCCGGGAACGACGGGCTGTGCCGCAGGGTGAGGTTGTCCAAGACGAGGCAGCGGCGCGAGCGGCGCCAGTCGGGCGGGACCGGAACGCTGTCGTGGTGGGGAGGCGCCGGGGTGCCCTGATTCCTCGTTGCGTGCGTTGATCTCGTTGTTTTCGATGTGACGCTAAAGTGCGCGGTCGCCCGTGTGACCGCCTGCGGCGGTCGCCCGCTCAAGGTTTCTTTTTTTTTTTGGGGGGGAAATTCCGTTGCGGAGCACGCTGTAAACGTGCCGCGGTGGCTAGGAGATGTTAACTCTCTCACCTGGCATACCGGAGGTCGTGGGTTCGATGCAGACCCAGACGACGCCTGCTGCTGTATCTTTGGAGTTTGCGTGTCTCTCTCTTTCTCCCCGTGGTCACGTGGATTTTTCTCCGTTGCGTTCGTTTCAAGTGTTCACCGGGGGGAGCGGAGGGGGGAGGGGGCACCGCCAACTCCAGCGCGAGTCCCTGGAAGTTTCACTTTGCCGGGGTCACTAAGTCGCCTCTCGTAATTCGGTCCTTTTGGCGTAACAGGTCAGTTGAGCTGGGAACGTCGATCTTATATCGAATATCCGTGAACGTTTACCGTTTTCTCAGGCCTTCCTCTCTCCGTCTCCTCTACCTTCTCTGCGTTTATCAATTATTTTGCCGACATGCTTAAAGTTATTGCGAAATAAAAACGAATCTGTTGCTATTTTTCGTCTTCTCCATTCACATTTCAAATGTTTGCCCTGTTGGAGTGACAAAAAGCACGACTTAAGGCACCCCACGCCCGAGCTCAGGCGGCTGAACGCTCGGAGATTTTTTTTTGCGTGACGAACTTCAAGAGCGTTCAAGGTTTTTTCACCACGAACGCGACGTGACCGTGAAGATTCTTAAGACGGTGTATCCCTGCCCGGCACACAGAAACACCTCGGTAATTCTGTACGTGCGTACAGCGAGGGGAAAAAAAAGTATTTGATCTCCTGCTGATTTTGTACGTTTGCCCACTGACAAAGAAATGATCAGTCTATAATTTTAATGGTAGGTTTATTTGAACAGTGAGAGACAGAATAACGAAAAAAAATCCAGAAAAACGCATGTCAAAAATGTTATAAATTGATTTGCATTTTAATGAGGGAAATAAGTGTTTGACCCCTCTGCAGAACATGACTTAGTACTTGGTGGCAAAATCTTTGTTGACAATCACAGAGGTCAGACGTTTCTTGTAGTTGGCCACCAGGTTTGCACACATCTCAGGAGGGATTTTGTCCCACTCCTCTTTGCAGATCTTCTCCAAGTCATTAAGGTTTCGAGGCAGACGTTTGGCAACTCGAACCTTCAGCTCCCTCCACAGATTTTCAATGGGATTAAAGTCTGGAGACTGGCTAGCCCACTCCAGGACCTTAATGTGCTTCTTCTTGAGGCACTCCTTTGTTGCCTTGGCCGTGTGTTTTGGGTCATTGTCATGCTGAAATACCCATCCACGACCCATTTTCAATGCCCTGGCTGAGGGAAGGAGGTTCTCACGGTACATGGCCTCGTCCATCGTCCCTTTGATGCGGTGAAGTTGTCCTGTCCCCTTAGAAAAACACCCCCAAAGCATAATGTTTCCACCTCCATGTTTGACGGTGGGGATGGTGTTCTTGGGGTCATAGGCAGCATTCCTCCTCCTCCAAACACGGCGAGTTGAGTTGATGCCAAAGAGCTCCATTTTGGTCTCATCTGACCACAACACTTTCACCCAGTTGTCCTCTGAATCATTCAGATGTTCATTGGCAAACTTTGACGGGCATGTATATGTGCTTTCTTGAGCATGGGGACCTTGCGGGCTCTGCAGGATTTCAGTCCTTCACGGCCTAGTGTGTTACCAATTGTTTTCTTGGTGACTATGGTCCCAGCTGCCTTGAGATCATTGACAAGATCCTCCTGTGTAGTTCTGGGCTGATTCCTCACCGTTCTCATGATCATTGCAACTCCACGAGGTGAGATCTTGCATGGAGCCCCAGGCCAAGGGAGATTGACAGTTCTTTTGTGTTTCTTCCATTTGCGAATAATCGCACCAACTGTTGTCACCTTCTCACCAAGCTGCTTGGCAATGGTCTTGTAGCCCATTCCAGCCTTGTGTAGGTCTACAATCTTGTCCCTGAAATCCTTGGAGAGCTCTTTGGTCTTGGCCATGGTGGAGAGATTGGAATCTGATTGGTTGATTGCTTCTGTGGACAGGTGTCTTTTATACAGGTAACAAGCTGAGATTAGGAGCACTCCCTTTAAGAGTGTGCTCCTAATCTCAGCTAGTTACTTGTATAGAAGACACCTGGGAGCCAGAAATCTTTCTGATTGAGAGGGGGTCAAATACTTATTTCCCTCATTAAGATGCAAATCAATTTATAACATTTTTGACATGCGTTTTTCTGGATTTTGTTGTTATTCTGTCTCTCTGTTCAAATATACCTACCATTAAAATTATAGACTTATAATTTCTTTGTCAGTGGACAAACGTACAAAATCAGCAGGGGATCAAATACTTTTTTCCCTCACTGTTATATGATGTACAATTATAATATGATGTACAATTCTATTATGATGTACAATCATATTATGATGTACATTTATAATATGATGTACAATTATATATAATGTACATTTATATAATGAACTTCTTTACATTGAAATGTCATGTTATGTTGTCAGAATAAAATATATATTGCACTTATGTTCTGCACACGCTAAATAATTGCACGGTGCATTATGTGAAAGGTCCACACACCGCATGTCCAAGTAGCTAAACAATTACAACAACACATCAGTAACACGACTGTGTGTGCGTGTGCGTAGCCTTCAAATGAAAACTACAATGTGGTCAGTGACTTGTCGGGCACTGTTTGTACCGCGGGGGCCTGATGGGAATGACAGAACGTGTAGTCTTACTCATGGCACCAGTGTTGTTAAAGAGGCGAATGAATCGTCACACTTGGGAGTGGAGCAATTGAGTAAGCATACAAAAATTCCGCTTCACTCAGCAGCAGTAAACTCGACTATCTGGGCGAATGAACAACAGCAGCAGCAGTCGGTACGAGACGCGACTTTGCCAGCCGGACTCGTGACCATGGCAGCAGTAGATGCGGTTACCCCTGATGATGCACAAATGGATACGATTACAAACTCCCTCCAGTAGCGGTGGCGCCTGTGGTCATCCGGAGCAGAGGCCGTGGTCGTACAACGCGTCACGTGGTCGTGCAACGCGTCACGTGGTCGTGCAACGCGTCACGACGCAACGCCCCGATAATCCACACAGATGAAGGAGACATCACAGCGACTATGATGATACACTACTACTACACTACTATACTACTACTACACTACTAGACTACTACTACAATACTACTACTATACTACTACACTACTGTACTACTACTACACTACTATACTACTACAATACTACTACACTACTATACTACTACAATACTACTACTATACTACTACACTACTATACTACTACTGCACTACTTTACTACTACACTACCACAACAATACTACTACTATACTACTACACTACTACTACAATACTACTACTATACTACTACACTACTACTACCTCACTACTACTATACTACACTACTACTACACTACTACTCTACTCCTGACGCGGTTGTGAGCTGGGCTTCACCACCTGCATGTGACACTGTCGTTGTGTGGCTCTGCAGCCACATCAGCAGCCGTACGGAAGAAGAAGACTCGCGACTGCTGGCTCACAGAGCTCTACCAGAACCACCTACCCACGTATCACCTACCCACAGAACCACCTAGTCACACACCAATCACCCACCGACCCACATAACCACCCACCTACCCAAATAACCACCCACCTACCCACGTATCACCTACCCACATACCCACACAACAATCACCCACCTACCCATATAACCACCCACCTACCCACATACCACCTACCCACATACCACCTACCCACACACCAATCACCCACCTACCCATATACAGAGGGGAAAAAAAAGTATTTGATCCTCTGCTGATTTTGTACGTTTTCCCACTGACAAAGAAATGATCAGTCTATAATTTTAATGGTAGGCTTATTTGAACAGTGAGAGACATAATAACGAAAAAAATCCAGAAAAACGCATGTCAAAAATGTTAAAAATTGATTTGCATTTTAATGAGGGAAATAGGTGTTTGACCCCCTCTCAATCAGAAAGATTTCTGGCTCCCAGGTGTCTTATACAGGTAACGAGCTGAGATTAGGAGCACACTCTTAAAGGGAGTGCTCCTAATCTCAGCGTTTTACCTGTATAAAAACACCTGTCCACAGAAGCAATCAATCAGATTCCAAACTCTCCACTATGGCCAAGGCCAAAGAGCTCTCCAAGGATGTCAGGGGCAAGATTGTAGACCTACACAAGGCTGGAATGGGCTACAAGACCATTGCCAAGCAGTTTGGTGAGAAGGTGACAACAGTTGGTGCGAATCCCTCATTCTCCCTCTCCTCCTTTCTCTCTCTCCCCTCTCCTCCTCGTTCACTTTCCCCATTCTCTCTCTCTCTCCCTCTATTCTCTCTCTCCCCTTCTCTCACCCATACTCTCTCTCCCCCTACTCTCTCTCCCCCTACTCTCTCCCCCCTACTCTCTCCCCCCTACTCTCTCCCCATACTCTCTCTCCCCCTACTCTCTCTCCCCTACTCTCTCCCCCTACTCTCTCCCCCTATTCTCTCTCCCCCTACTCTCCCCCATACTCTCTCTCCCTCTACTCTCTCTCCCCCTACTCTCTCCCCCCTACTCTCCCTCTACTCTCTCTCCCCCTACTCTCTCCCCCCTACTCTCTCCCCCCTACTCTCTCCCCCCTACTCTCTCCCCCCTACTCTCTCCCCCTACTCTCTC